CCCCCCCCCCCCCCCCACCCCCCTCGGGAAGATAACCTAAGACTCGCATACCTTTTTACAAATTCTCAGAATGAAAAAAGTTATCGAGTGAAATCGTGCGATAAAAGAACCCCAAAACGGGCATGCCGAGCGAAGCAGAAAGATTTCTTTCCGGTGCAGCCGTGCCCGTGAGAATGAGCATGTGGCAACCGTGCGTGTCACGACCGCGCGTGTGGCGACAGTGCCTGACGACTGTGTCATCACCCCGAGCCAAAGCGAGCGGTCGTCGGCGGCTGCAACATGGAATCAATCTATATAAAATCAGCGCATGCAGAAGAAAATCGAGACTCCACCTTGTGTTCCACCTTACGTCCCACCTTGCGTTCCACCTTGTGTTCCACCTTAATCGCGCCCCAGCTGCCAAAATGGCGCTGTAATGGCACACGTGTCTTTTTTGCGGTCACGTGCCACGCTGGAACCAGCTTTTTTACGACGGGGCTCCGTCTATTACCGCCGACTCACGCCTCACGACAAAAAGGCGCCTGAAAGGAAACCGCGCGGTTACGCAATCGAGGAAGCTCACCGAGCGGAAAGGTGACCTTCGTCTTCCTCTCATCGGCTCCCGTGTTCCCTATCGGTCGTCGTCCGATCCATTACAGAGATGACAAGATAACGAGTAATCTGTCGACTAGAGAAAAACCTGTCCCCTTTTTTCACTCGACGAGGCGGGGGGGGGAGGGGGCCGGGGGGGCAGGGGCTGAGAGGGGCGAAAAGTCCTTTGACCCGATTGCATCACTAACGTGGGAGATCCAAGGCATTCCGCGAGGGTCTGAGCCGGGCGGACAGGGATGCCGGATCCCCTCGCTCCGTCCTCCACCGAGCTAAAATAGATGCCAACTGTAAATACTGGAGGACTTCCAGTTTTCTTCCCCCCCTTTCGACTTGTGTTCGGCTCTGCACAGTTACTCGTGGATCGACGGGGTTCGGTTCGACCGATTTCGCTAATATCGGTGGGATTTTTCTGTGTCGTGTGGGGTGAACAGTGTTGTTCGAGGGATCGGTGCTGAGCGGAGTGGGTCGATCGCAATTTCGCATTTCGTTTGTGGCGTGCATCGCGTTTTGTGCGTTGGAGCCTCTCAAATTTAATTAATCACCGACGTGAATATATTTTATCGGTATTGAATCTTAATTATTTATAATGAATATCCGTGAAAAATGATTTTCATCGCCGTCTTCTAACGTACTCATCCGTCGCAATCGTGCGTACGAACACAAAGCGGCGGCCGGGGAGGCCCCGAGCGAGAACGCGGGATCGGGCATCCCTGCCGCCCGGAGGCATTTCCTAAGCAGGCCTCCAGGGACGCCAGTGTCCGTCGAGGCTTTCACCGATCCGCATGGGCGTCTCTCCTCTGTGCATTTCGTGTCCGTTTGACCTTAAGAGTGATCTTAAGAGTGACGTTTAGTGACCTTTGAAGCGTTGTCGGATCCTTTGAAGCGTTGTCGGATCTTCCCGGCGTCGAAGGAAACCGCTTCACGCTCTCCTTTTCCGTCTCCCAAGCGCCAGATGAAGTGAAGAAGCATGTCTCTCCTCGTGAAAGCGGTGAAAGCGGCGAATCTCCCCGACATCGAGACGTTCGGCAAGATCGACCCCTACGTCGAGGTCGACTTCCAAGGTCAGTCCGGCCGACCTCCTCCCGGTCGCTCGCGGAAGGGCAATTCGTGCGGGAACCGGTTCCGCCGTAAGTAAACGCAGGGACACAATGGCGATGAGGTAAGCCTGGCGTTTCTTCGTAGTCATTGCGGATGCGAGCCGGCTTGGCCTTGCCCGAGAGTTCTTTTGTCCACCTGCCATTTTTTATTAAATGAATCCCTCAAGCAGATCGGAAGTTCCGACTTCCGAAGTTATTAAAAGTTAATTTAAAAGATTAAAATTTAAAAATTTTAGATTAAAAAAAAAAAAACTTTATCACTCTGAATTTAATTTTAAAAAATTTAATTTCGAATTTGAATTTCGAAAGTGATCGGCTCGGTCTGGTTCCAGGGGAGAAGAAGAAGACGACGGTGAAGAAGCAGACCTGCGACCCGGAATGGGGCGAGGACGTGGAGTTCGACCTGGGGGGGAAGCCCCCGCCGCCGGAGGCCTGCCTGGACGTCTACGTCAAGGACTACGAGAAGATCGGCAGAAACCGGTAGGGAGCAAAAAAAATTGGCACGGGCGGAATGAAAGGA